TATATTTAACAAAATTATAAGTGTTAGAAAAACCAACAACTAAACATTCATTCACATAGGTACTAACAAAATTAACACGTTGGGTGCTGATGACGGGAATTCCCGCAATTGCTTAACATTGAAATAAATGCAACTTTTATGTTCAAACATGTCGACAGCACGAATAGTGTTAACAGCTGTATTTATTCATAACATAATATTTTTGTTTGAAATTAGGTTAACACATCTTGAAAATGTCCTTAGAGACGAAACATGTTGTGATTTATTAAATAAAAAAGAATATAAAAAAAAGGGTACTCATGTTATTTTACATATTATTTATTAAATATATATTTATATATATATGTGTGTGTCCGTTTGCGCGATAACTCGAGCAAAAATCATCCGATTTTGATTAAATTTGGTACACACGTGTAAACCTACATTTATTAACGAGTTTGCGAACCAGCATGATCTGACTATGGGAACAGGGGTTTTATGGGGCAAAAATTGGTTTTTCCCATTTTTGACCCTAAAAACTTAAAATTTAGCATTTTCTTTCCAAACCATTTTGTAGAGCTTAAAAAAAAACAAATAATTTAGTTACCATGCGTCTAATGGCTACGGAGAAAATTCCAAAAAACTGTAAATTTAAAATTCCCATGTTATTCTTAAGGAGAATAAGTAAACTGTTGTAGTTTGCTTGTTTATGATCATATTTATTTGATCAAATTTGGAAACTGCATTCATTTCATACTAAACTACTAACATTTTACAAAAAAACACCTTTTTACCTTCCCTGTTGTAGCAAACCTAAGTACTTGTTAAACTATAATATTTAAATAGGGAATAAATGTGATATTTTAAAGGAGACATTTTAGTGTAAATCCAATTAGGCAAATGGAAATTGGCTTAGTATGCAGGTCTGCTGCAGCGAGGGTATTTTATTATAAACTCTCTCAGATTAGGTGTTTTTTAAACTTTGCAATCATTAATGCATTTTATTTTAGAGTAGATATTTTTTAGCTCTATTAGTGGTTATACTCTTTGGTTTTAATAAGTAAAACACTTAGCTTATAAATAGATCATATTATTTGGGTAAATTGATCAAATAACTTTATCCTAGGTAAAATATAAAATTTAATCCATGGTAAAACAAACTATATGATAGGTTTATTCCTACTAATTTTCTATAACAGTCATTGGCAATTCTAGTTGTTTTTTTAATTTGAAGCTTATTTCAGTTTACAATTTTCTATAACGTAAAAAAATAATATAATCCATTTAAAACAAGTGTTTAGTCAAGCTAAGAACTAGAACAATAAAAAGTTTTCATGAGTACAGTCACACTGGATTGGTTTGACAATGAAAATGTGTGTCATCAAGTTTCAAGTCAAGGTTAGCTCAGTTGACTCATTCAAGGTTGATATCTGTTCTGACTCAATAACAGTTTATATAGAATTTCTCAAATGAGGAAAACTACTAGAATCTTTTTGTTACTTATAATGTTAAGCAGAATGCTGAATGGAAACAATTTCAATTGCGTAAAAACTAATACTGTAATTTTCTAAAAAAAAAAAACGTTGTTAAACACTTATAAGAAAAGCTCTTTGTAACTATAATTTTCCAGAATAGTATTTTGTGGAATATATTTCATTTTAAGAAATGTGTATAAAATACTTTGAAGATTGAGAATTTTCTTAGAATGGATTGAATGGAAAGATGTCTTTAAAAAAGTACTGATGCATAGATACTATAATACATTATAGTTTGTAGGCTACCATACTCAACTGGGTACTTTTGGACCTATGATACTTGCAAGAAACAGGAAAATATTCAACTCAGACATTCAGAACAAATTTGTATACCTATGCTACTACTTACTTGTTAGAGATAATAGAAAAAAATATCAGCAGAGAGTGATGATGTCTGATGTCTTCCCTAAGTAGACTTCACAAGTATTTTCTCTCTTTCATTCAAACCTGTGTTTTTCAATCAGGACTGAGAAACAAAAAGTTGTATTCATCAATGTCTTTTAAGGAAAACTATTGGATTGCCCTTATATAAAAACACCAGGGTCTTTCTATTTTTCTTTCCTATTTCATAATTTTTCTTTGCAGTATTTAAAATAGAATATGTAAACTTGATTTATCTTTTAAGCATTGCCACAACTGAGATATTTTCTAACACAGATTCTATTAATACATTTCTGGGTGTTCGGTAAAGAAAGCATTTTATTCTATCCAGTGGTTTAACTTTTTTGCCTCAAAAAACTTTTTTCCTAGTAAACCTCTGTAGTAGGTAGCCTAAATGCTACTGTGTCAAGTTCTACTCAATTTTACCCATCCATGTAGCTCAGTTTAAATAACCAACTCTAAAATTGGCTACTTATTTGTAATTCTACTTTCCTAGATTAAATACACCCTCTTTAATATCTATGATCCTTGAGTATAATTAGAAGCAAAATAATTACCTAAAATAACTCATGTAATTAAGGGACATATTATTCTACAAATTTTAAACTGTTGTGTCTTTGCCCCTATTATGGTAGTCAAAATGAATATACTCTAGTGTTACCAAATTAAATTATCACAACAAAACAAGTTTTAAAACCTACTACAGTATGAAAACCATACGTGTAGAATCCAAAGTCAATGGAGAATTTTAAAATATTCTGATCACAATAATTATAAAAGCTAATACTAAAAATAATGCAAGGAGTAAGGAAATGAAGACTTAACAGGCCCACCAGTGATATAACCGGAAATATTGTTATCACAGTTTCAGAAGGTTAACTAGTTGGCTGAGGTTTTGGAGGTCACCACTCACCAGTCACTACGAGACAAGATGGTGGCACACGAGCTTTGTTGGTGACTAACTGATAAAAGTGGTGATAAATTGATAACAAGTATCACTTAGACACTGGGGTCTTGATTCTATTCTCAGGACTGGGTGACTGGGAAAAAGTGGTGGGCACACTTCAAGTATAGACAGTATTCAAGAATGTATTTTGGTTTTTAGAGACCTTAAATACAAACAACAAATCAAGTTGGTTGGTAGCCTATACCTAAACTAAATTTTACCACGAAGAATATACCTTATTGAACAACTACTTCCCTATGGGGGAATTCACCAATAAGAACTTTGAACAGTACAGTAATTAAATTTTATCTCAAGCCATGAATAGTAACAAGAATTTTGCCAAAAAGGAGGTTTTCTATATAGTACTATAGAATCTGTTTTTGAGAAACAACATAAGTAGAAATAGAAATTTCAAAAAAGGTGAAAAGGGCAAAAAAGCACTGGACCTGTGAGGTTTCCCCAAAGAATCCAAGTTCAATGCAAGATTTAATATTGCTGGTTCTGTACTATGATGCATTCACATGGAAACCTCCTAGAAACACTGTTACTCAATTTACCAAATCAAATACAGCAACATTATTATGGTTATATTTATTATTGGATATGAACACTTGTTTGTCAGATACTAAACTGAATTGACAGTGTGACTGAACCACTATACAGAGTTGCATCATCATCTGCTTGTAGTCTAGGCCTACTGATAACCTGATAACACACTGATAATACATAATATACTCATAGCAGCTGACTGGCTGACATCCATCTGCAAATAGACTCATGCCATGTCTTTTGACCAAATCTGATAGTCTAATAATAGGCTTATATGTTGTTGCAGCTTGTATAATTGGTCATATAAAGAACGTGGATATCATACACTATATATATTGTCTGTTTTTAATATTTATTTTTTGCTATTTTACTAAAATGCATTTTATTTAATTCAAGAGTGATATTTTTTGAACGGTGCGTTATCATAGTCAAAATAGCTAATTTCCTATGTTGCGTAGGCTATTTATAAAATTAGAGGAGGCATAACAACTAAAAAGTCCAAAATGTCTAATGTATGTATTTTAAAGAAATATTGCCATCTTATCTCACTCTTTTCAAACAGCATAAAATCATACAGAATGTGTGAACGAAACAACATTTCTTTGTAGGTCAGTATTCCTTCTAAAATTAATACGTTGTATTTTCATCAAGGTTTTGCAGAACTGAAATAACTTGGAACAGGAACACCATTTGGCGTTGCATTAATTCTGGCATTGACTATATATACTTACAGGTGTATATAGTCAATGGTTCTGGGCAATGTTCCAGCATTGTATGGTGGCCTATGTTTGGCAAATGTTGATTTACTTACACGTGTTTAACATGCAACACAGCTGCTGCATGAGGCCAACACGTGTGCACACCAAAACACACACACACACACACACACACACACACACACACACACACACACACACGTCATTGGCAACAACTTAGACATCTCATTACACTGTTTGACAGATTTATGTTTTTTAACCAAGTTTATAACTTTGTTTTCCGTTGGATTACAATTTGTAAACTGTAACTGGTGTCATTATAGTTATTTTTTTTTGCATATCAGGAATTACTAGCTTATTTTAGGTTAGGTTAGGTTAGGTATCGGTACAGAAACATTAATTGTGACTTGGTAGGAAAAGCAGTCGATGACAGAGTTTTGGAAGACTGCAGTCACTGACAGGGCACAGGGACAAATATAATTCCCTTTTTCCCAGTCCCGTAGCGACTACAATTGTACCTGGCTGGGCGCTCGGGCAATTTCAGCATATCAAATCTTGCAAGGTGACCTTCCTAATCCTCTTTAATGAGCGTGGCAGTTTCATGTTTCAAAAGCACCCAAAATGTCGGGGCAGTTTCACGCCCATAATTTGACATCCTACATAAATGAGTGCATTGATAAAATGTTACGTATCCCTGTAGTATTTACCTATTATAAGTACATTTACTAATGGCAGCAAAAAAGGAAGCAGTCGAGGCAACAAAAATAGTTACACAAAACAACACTACAGTTTATAAGTACTTGTGTTATACAAGGGAATTGAGTGTAATAAACACACATTTTATACAACAATAATAATTGTTTTATACATTTTGAATGTATGTTTGTTAAGTGTAACTTGGAAAAGGTTAACCTTCAGACTTGTGTTTGAGACCAGTAGTCTATGTTGTCGTTGAGAGGTTCTCGATATCACCTTGTTTTGTCAAGGGATCGGTAAAGTCTTGTCTTCAGTAGATGAAAGTCTTTGCTGAGAATGTGGCGTTGATTGTGATTATGAGTTCGTTTCTTGGTCAAAAACTTCAGCAGCTGTGACAGCCGCCCTTTGCGTTTCTTTTCTTGCCTAAGCGTTAGACTCAGCAGGAAGGTGGAGCTCATCTGAGGGTCCCACTTGATGCTGCTGATCTTCACCTGACTGCCTTCCTCTGTCTCTAGCTGGATGTCCAAGGTGCAGCCCCTAGAAATTAGATAATATGCGGTAAAATTACAAAGATTCTCAATAAAGTTATAGGTGAACAGAAGTTTAGCTTATTGAAATTTCTGATGGCATTGTTTCTATCATATACTTCACCATTGTGAGTTTGCGAAAAGGAGGACCATTTGCACTGAGTAGCAACATTGGTCTGGTAAGTAGTATGAAACGCCCTTTGTGTGTTTGTAAAGATCGTGGCAGTCAATGCAATGTTCCGCTCAAATAAGAAAATTAGTTTTACAAAGGTAAGATTTAAAAAAACTAAATTAAAATTATTCAAATTAAAAGGAAAAGAACAACGGAGTATGCTACCAAGACACATGACTTATTACTGTATTATTATTATTATTATTATTATTATTAATTAGTTCTGTGATAGCTTTATAAAGATAACCTTCGATTACCACTTTAAATTGTCCTTTGGACATGTTTAGTCCTCATTTCAGGATTTAAAAAAAAAATACCTAAGACCACAGGGCTCGCAGACGGACTGGGCCAGTATCTGGCTGGCGACTGTAGGCAGCAACTCTCGTGGCAGCAACACCTCACCACAGGATAACTGTGCAGACTTGGCAGCCCTCAACTCCTCACCTAGCCTCTGGGCCAGAGCTGAACATGCTACTTCCCACTCTGTCCCCTCTCCTGTACAAACACAATAGGAACCTACAGTGGTATTCATGGAAGATTAACGAACTTGTAGACAATGGTTGTATTCACATTTTAGCTCATGCTCAAGTCTTACGGGAAACTAGGTTGAGTAAGTATTGATTTAATATTGAACAACAAATCCATTAAAAGGTATTTGAGAGAATGAATGGTGATTTGTCTTGGACTGAGATCAGCTGATTCTTGAGCTCTCCAACCACTCAACTATTCATCATGATGAGTCACCTTTCCATTGTTAACTCAGCTGATAAAATATGACGAAATAATGTTATGAACAGTGGTTTTACGGCACACCCCAGATGAATCAACGAATCGCCACGATCCAGCTTTAATGTGCAGATGTAATGTAAAAGTGAGGACATTTCGTTGAAAAGCTAAAGAACTTCACAAATTTTCTGAAAAGCTTCTAAATTGAACTTGAACTACCTAATAAATTTTTTTACTGTAAAAACTATGGGGACATCACTAGTTGCTGGTTGGTCGTTCCCTTTGGCAACATAAAAAGCTAACTACCTATAGAAATTTCAAAAATTGTTAACAGTGGCGAAAGTTAAGTGAACAATTTACTGTACTGTCGTTTACACACAATTTACTGTCGAACTTTAACCAGGACGTGATTGAGCCATGCGAACGAGCTCATCTTGAAAATTAAGAAGTTAAGGGGCAAAGCCCGCGGGTACAGCTAGTCGAATTATAAAATACCACTACTACCATTAATGGTTTAAGCGAACATTTAACGAGCTATCTTTAAGGGCAAAATACTGGAATATACAACTATAACAACAAATCAAACTCTGAAATAATAATCATACAAATATTTACAAATACTTTCAAAAGTATTCATAATGACATTTCTCTACTAAAAAGTACTACAAACTAAGTACAGGACAGATGGGTCTTAAAGTGTAAAATTCATACCATATTAAAAATTTGAGTTGGCATACGTTTACCGAATTAACTTACAGTTGGACACTCGTAATAAGTTTTGTACTGGTTTACATGTCAAATCAATCTTACCACTCGTAATAGTCCGTTGTAAATCCCTGTTCATATGCAGAGGTAATTCTTTCACAGCAATCATAATCACAAAACACCTTCGACACATTTTAGAGACTTTAAACGAAGTGAGCGATGTAAAGTCGTCCATTTTATAAGTGACACAACAGTTTTCGTGTTCGGCCACACACTGACTTTGACCACAAATCAACCGATTTCCTCTGTTTTCACACTGATGACTCATGTTGACAAAAGTAATGTTTACTGACTAAGATACAGAATTAAGGAAATGATCAAAGTAATGTCAACAATAACATGTTATAAGGCTGTTTTGGTGATACTGCCATACCACCAAATAACAAACTAAAATAATTTCATTTTGATATAAACTTTTTTTATATGATTCCCACCAACTATCATAGTATGTAAAACTAAAAGAGAAAATAAATAGTCTTCAGCTTTGTACGTGTTATTAAATTTACGGAAAGTAAATACAAGATACGCCTACCTAAAAGATATAAATGATACCGGGTCTGATGATGATTGGAGTGTCCGATCGAAATCGATCACCACTTACCATCTTTTATGTATATTTACCGTCTTGTGAGTAACAGTATAAGCGTAAATATGTGTTTTTGTTTAGTGTTATTAGTAGGCGTATCTTTTATTTACTTCCCGTACTTTTTAAAAGTAATAATTTAAACACAGACTCAGTACAAAAGTCAAAAGTTGTTTCCTAAGAAATGTGTTTCTATTAACCGATGGCTGTAGTAGTACTAGAGGCTGAAACACATTAAAACCTTAGTATACTAAAAGATTACATGTTATTTTTACCAGCGAACAAAAACCAGTTTAAGCTAAACAGTTTTAAAAACCATCTCCAATATGAAACATGTCACATGTTTGTTCATAGTCTTATACCTGGTTGTAAAGATTGTCTGAGTTGTATATCGTGAAAAAGTACAACTTTGAGAATAAAATATGTTTAGTGCTGGTTTATAGTATTATTTGAAGTAACCCTCGTCAACATAATCTTATGACTATTCGAATATATTTGACTCACTATTGTTCTTCAACAATTAATTAATTATTTGAAAGTTTCATTTTGCGTTTTAATTAACCTAGTACTACGGCGCAACAAATAACAGGTATAAACAATTTGAATCGCACGATAGTCTGCGTCACAGCGAAAACAAGCTGTTTACTTGGCCTACATGTAAACATCACGCCACTATGACACAGGAGTCGCACTCTCTCTGTGTGGGAGTCTATGTTCAGACTGGCGGGATTCCATCCCAGACAACGGGATATTTCGGCTACCAGGGGGTTTGGGTCTTTAGAACGAATAATTAGTACGTAGTAGCTATTAATGTTATCCCAGAAAGGTATATTTCAGCTCACAGAGGGATAAAGGTGTAGTCAGGGGAATATTATATTATGAAGGGTTATTACAATTAAACCAATAAGTGAACTCATCGTTGATTGATGGGATCAAATTTAACCATAGCTTTAATTTAGATATATTTCCGTGAACTAGTCATTATATTATACATAAGGTAATGTAAAGTTGTCGCTAATAAACATAGAACCTACTTCAGCACTTTTATAACAAGCCAAAAGGGGGTTTTCAATGTTAAGGGATATTGGGGACTTCACAATGGGATACAAAGGGAAATATTTGATGGTAAGTGGGATATTGACCTGTGAGTATTATTGCTGGTAAGACAAATGCAAACAAAACCGTAACTCGGTAACAATGCAAGGTCGACTTATGCCGATATAAGATAACCTACCATACGTTGAGATTTCAATTTTTCTCTTGGATTCTTTAAATAAAGTCAATGATATTATACAGTATAACCCATTAGTTTTTAATCTTAAGGATATTTTAAGCTTACCATTGAAAATCTTGGCTGAAAACATGTATCCTCTACTAAACATTTTTGAGGAACAATACGATTTGTAGACTGCGCAGTTTGTAGACTACGGGCGCAGCTCAGCCTCAACCTAGTTAGGGTGATCCCTGAATTGTGAGAATGACATGCAGCTAAACATCACCAATATATAACATACAGTATGTAATAATTCAACTATGTCATGTCTGACCCGAAATGATTTTTTTGTCCCGTCTTGATCACCCCTTTGCGAGAGACGTTCACCATCTTCCCCTCCCGACGCTGCACGTACTGCATGGAAAAATACCAACTCTGGTAAAGGCACAAAAAATATTAGAGCGACCTTGCTTGCATGGGGTGGAGCTGTGGAGACCTGTCAACACTCGTCTGATTTCTTTGTTTGTCGCAGACAAAAGCCACAATGCCTCAATAATAATTTGAAACACAGAACCGGTTGTTAATAATGTAAACTGAGTTTGGAAGTGCGGCTATTGCCTATTGCGGAAAACAAAGATTTTCACATTTGTTTGAAATTGTCCTATAGCTCAGAGACTTGTATGTGTATGTTCAACGACTTGTAATGTACAAAGTTCTTTTGGTGAACTGTATTAACAAATCTTAGCTTCCTGCTCATTGACAAATAACAATATTCAGTAATGCGTTGTGCGACTAAGTGACGTGATACAGTACTGGTAGACTACAACGGTAAAGTTCTGTTTTTTGTTTTGGCGATGGATAATTCTTGGAGAATGAGCAAGCAATGTACACATTTTATCTTTGACTTTTTAAAGAGTGTTTGGTAAATCTTTCATTAATATTACATGTTTCAATGGAAAACCCATGGCGAAATTAAAGAAATAGTCATTTATGGAAACATTTAAACGCTATTCTACCAACAAAGATAGCGAATGAGTTCACTTAACTCAACTGTGACGCGTGTATAAATCAAAATTTATTAAAATAACACGAATGTTAGGAACGCAGACTTTTGATAGAGCTTGAATATTATCGGTCAATGAATCCACTCTTTGTACATTAAATAAATGACGTATTTGATGATTATGCGCCCAAGACAATAGGACAATACTCTGTTGTTGAATTAAACAATTTAAAATTATTTTATGTGCCAACTACTTTTAAAATAAGTATTTATTAGAAGTAGGCATACAATTAATACTCGACTTCAATAAACAGTAGCCAACATAAACGCGCACATATAACATTGTATAGAGTATGAGGAAACAACAGACAAATAAATTTACCCTAAAACATGTACTGAAGATCAGGCTAAATCTAAATCGTCAAAACTGTTGTCACAAGAAATTAGGAAAATAACATCACATTAACAAAACATTCTACCATGACGTTGGTTTTAGTGACGTCACGATTTTATCAGTAAAACAGCTTGTTTCTGCAAAATAGTTTGTTATCGAATCTTTCAACTTGCGAATCAATTTGCGCAGAGTGACGAACTTGCTGATATAATAAGTTAGAGAAAAACATTTGCAATATTTCTGTTATGATTTGTTTCTTTCCTGCATCTTGTTAGTAACTTGGAGAGTTACAAGAGTATAATATCTTTTTGATATAAGGAATACAGTACAGGTAAAAATCACTATTGAACATAAATACGAAACCCGGAAAACAGTCAGTCAAGCGAACGGAAATTAACCTACACCCTATTAGTTTTGAACTAAATTTGCAAACGCAATTTTTTTCTTTCAAACTTCTTAAGTTTTGAGACCCCTAAATGCAAAGTTGTATTTTTTTGTTTGTTTAGCATTAACACATACCAAAAGTTAATAAAAACGTTTCCCAAAAGAGATCTGTACTATATTTACTACGATTAGTCTGCCGATAAATATTGTGGAGATAAATATTTAAAATACGGCCAAAGTAATATTGTTGTATATAAATTTAGGGGTTTCCAAATAGATGACTAGCAATTAATACTTTTCGTAATACTACAGCAAAAACAACCGTTACACATACATACTGTACATGCGAACACATTTATAATACTACACATAACACACAACACACATAACACATAACACATGTGAAGTTATACATGCGTTGAGGGTCTAAGTAGCTCTTTTAATCCCTAGAGAGAAAGCCTTTTTAGTCCCTAGGGAGTAAAAAGCTGTTTCAAACAGTTGTAAACTTCGATTGTATGCAATCGAATGTATCGCAATTATTTATCCATTGATCGGTTGTAGCTTGCTTGTTGTTGGATTGTTGTCAGCATAGCTCGACATATCGATAGTATAACATATATATAGTACAGTAAGACAATCGCAAAAGACGAAAATGTACGAATCACTATAGCTGCTTATTTGCAAAATTGAAAACAAGCTGGAAGTGGTTTTGAGAGGTTATCTTTACGTAAAAAATATTTTCGTTTTATAACTTAGTTTGTTAAATAATGTTGCAATATGACGAAAAATATAGTCCATCACACGGGCAAAAAGTGTCTTTTCAACCCTCACTCATTTTCGGTCGTGAAACTTGTGCTTGGGCAAAAAATAGTCACGCCCTAGTTATGAAATATACTATTACTAAATTGTTCCACACAAAAAAGTCTCTAAACAATTTTGAACTTTTCAAAATCATGTTATGCAAATACACACTAAATGTTAAAACGATTTAAACTATAATCATAAGTTTTGTTGGATAAGATGGGTGTGTCTGGGTTATTTTCCCAAGTCTTATCTTGTATCTGACTTTAATTATTTAAGGAGACTACCAGAACAAACAACAGTGATGACTTCGCCCTCGTCGCAACGGTGAACAACAAGACAACAATCATCAATCGGTAATAAACACTCACGTTAACACTCACGTCACAATCGTTTGTTGAAAACAAAGCGTTGGAAGTTTTTACAAAACATCCCCGAAAATCGAGGAGTGGGACTACAAAAGTGAATCGCAAACACAGTTCAAAGACAAAAATATATATCTCACATTTAAACTTATTTCAGTACTGTAATGGGCGGAATATTCTTCGGTGATATTTTAAGAAATACTACAAAGTATTCGTGTCAAACCCTTCTCAAGTATTGTTACTTGGGTGTTATGGGATTTAAAATTGTATTTCCTTCACAGATATGCCACTAGGGATTTGAGATTGGATTCGTTGCTATTGTATCTCCCCAAATAGAGAAGAAGATTTTCAAAATATAGCCATTGATTTTCAAACTCAGCAAGTATCCTGGGAAAGTAGTAATATTTTAACATTGCAAATTCGTTTGCACCATGGATATTTTCATTTACTTAGTAAGGGTAGCATAGAAATTATATTATTCTGTAAATTACAATTAGTACGCTAAAGGTTGTAAAATAAATAAAATAGGAAAATGCGACAAATAGTACCTCATAGACTAACCAACACAAGTAGACTTCTCATCCCATTGTAAATTTTAAGATTTTTTCGTGTCTAGTTCATGTTAATGACACTAGGCGCTAGTGTCGAAGACATTTTGTTTCTATTATTTTAGGGTTAATTTAATAATTTATCATGCTTTACTGGTTATAGAACTAGGGGTCCCATGCCTAGTAACCTAGTGGGGGACAAGTTATTGTTTATGATTACAGTAGATCGTTTTATTAGTTAAACGGGGTTTTAAATAGCTGAAATAACAAGAAACTAATTGGTAACATAAACACGATCCTAGGGGCACCGGACGGAAATAAGGATAAAATTGTCTTCAGCTGATTCATAAGGATGGCAAATCTACTAGAGAGTATGTTTATAGGATAGGGAGTATTATAAAGGAGTATAATAAAGGGAGTATGTTACTGGTCAACGTACTTTGCCTTTTTTATGTAAAAGGAACCTACAAGATGCATACGAAATTATTAGAAAGTGGACTTCATTGGAAATTAGCAACTTTTCAGATCCCTCTATTTTATAGGGAGAACAGATGAAGTTATGCTAAAACACAAAATGAACACGAAATGTTTACATGACTATGACTACATTGGCTTTTTCCTAACAATTGATCAACATAAACCCTATGCTTATCTCTCGCGTGCCCCTTCAGTTTATCATGACAATTCAACTGTCTGATAGGATGTTTTATGGAATTGTGTGAGTATAAATCACCAAGAGAATAATTTGTTTTTCAAGATATTATCAAATGCGCCATCATGCAACACATCGGTGGCAATTTCGACTGATAACAAGTTACTAAGCATATTATTTATGTGCCTAATACAAAATCCTACCAAATAAATAATTACATTTTTGGGAGGTTATAATACCACATGCACTTCCAGATTTAAATGTATTGCAGCTGTGTAGCTGAATTGTGGATGCATTGTATTGTGTGATGTGGCTGTATATAGTAGAATTATTGTAACTGTGTTGTATCTTTATTGTAGTTGTAAGTTTAGCTGCATTTTAATTGTATGACAACTGTGATGTAGTTGGATTTAAGCTGTATGGTGGCTGTAATTGGATTATACTGCAGTAGAAGTATTGTAGTTGTTTTGAATTGTAATTGTATTTTAGTATTATATCTACGATGAAGGTTAACTCTCAAACTGAAATTTAGCAATTGTATGTAATCGGTGCTGGAGCCAGGTCTTACCATGAGACCTACGGCAATAGCTTATTCCCTATGGGAGATTTGCTTAAATATGAAAAAAATTCAAAATGTTTCATACAAAAATAATTACTGTAGTCTCTTAACCCATTTATATTACAATTTTTATACTTTACTTAATTGCCTTCAAATAGAAATATTATGTATATATTGTCTAAGTATATACTTATCTTACCTGACCAACTCCCAAATAAAATCAAGTTGTCAAAATGAAAAAATTCTCTGATTTCCGATACATAAGAGCAGAAGACTCATAGGAATAAATATTTCTACTTTTTATGCAGCGAATTGGATTTGAAAAACATGTATATAATTGTTTTTGCATACAAAGTTGTATTTAGTAAGGCCAAAACTTGACTTTTGAAATTTCATCTGGGGTATTCCTTTTATTTTTAGTTTCTAGGATTTTTTTTAAAACTTAATGGGTCAAATTCATTTTTTTACTCATTCAGATTCCCCTTGGTCTTCTAAACAAAATCAGATTTTTTATATGGATGGATCCATATAAGAGTAAATGTCTGGAAAAATAGTAATTAGGCATGGCCTACCTAAACTACCCATGGCCAGTCGGAGGGTTAACAAAATACAGGATCATTATAGATCATCAACAATTACAGTAAAGAACCACTACACAACTGAATGCAATACACATTTTGAAACTTAGAAATAATCGGTGAAATGGAAACTGTATTGAACATATAATGGCACATTTTAGTGTTCATAATAATGTCTTCAAATATTATAAAATTATCTTGGAGCTTCAGTTTAAAACATAAGGTCTTTAAGAAATATAAGGCTTTTGATTTTTACAATAGTTACTGTCCGCCTCCTTGTTTCTGAAAGTCTACATAAGTTACATTCAATTTGTTAATCTTGTTACCATTTTGTTTAGTATTTTCCCCCTTTTGATTTACTATGCATAGCACTTGTGAATCACCAAAATCTGTTATTTGTCTAAATTAGATGAACGCTTTCTACCAGATATGTATGACCTTGCTTCGAGATTTGATGGTGCAAATTTCACTTCATAAATATTAAAATATGGTAAATGAGATGGTTATTTTTTTTTAACTGCCAATTTATGGTGTGTCATGAAGTGTCCTTACTAATATACATCAACAATTTTGTACTTCTTATCAATTACTAGATGCATTTTGGATCTCCTCTCATTCTTTCACAATGCAAATAATGCCTTGGTTTTTTTTTTTTATTTTTTTAATAATGAAATGCTTAAATCTTTTAAGTTTTAAGATTTAAAACAATTGTTGCGTTAAAGTTAAAGTCAATTAGGTAGGCCTACATCAATTTACTTGGAGTTTAAAAAAATTATGGTCACCTTAACCAGGCTTATAATTTCACTTATTTTAAGATGGAATTTTGGATTTATTTCCATAATGTTAAAACTGCAATCAAAATTATCCACAAGTAATAATCGTAATCAATGATGAACAATAGCAACTTAAAGGTTCTTCTAAATCTCGTATGTAATGCAACATATTTGCAATCTATCGATTTGGTGACCATAACATTTGATATTTCTTTAGCCAATATTATAATTAGTATTTATGTTTTCAAGAGTACATGACAAAAAATTTGCACACTATGAAGAAATATGCCTACACAGAAAAGGTGTTCTACTCAAATATAGCACACACAAGACATAAAAAAATTTGGTTTTGTATGAACTAAATAATAACATAATATACAGTAGTAATTTTTGTGGGCCTAAATGTTTCTAAACTGTTTATCTTCAAAGTTAAAAGTGTTATACAAGATTATTTTTTTTTAATTTGTAATTTTTGTATTATTTTTTTGTTATCATTATCAACTGTTTTGTGACTCTATATTCATTGTAAATGAAAACCAGCTGTGAAAACGTTCATGATTCAAATTAATACATGAGATTGTAGGATGTATGTTTTGTTACTTTTATAACGCAATAATTTTATCTTTTCAAAATAAGATTTTATAAATTTTCTTAACTCTCCTGAAGTGGCTGAAAAAATTAAGAGTTTATTTTACTATTGTACCTTCAGGTAATACAGACTAATAAATTGAGAATTAAAAATTGGAAAAATTCATTTATACGAATCTATGTGGAATATCTTTTAAGATATTGATCTTCCTTAGCTCTGTTTTAATTAGTCATTCCATACATTTTTCTGTTACAGAAGAAGTCAGAATAGGCTAGTTAACATGTAAATAAACTTATAGGATATGTATGTTTTGCGTTACTTGATTGAACAGTAATTTTATCTTTTAAAAATAACTTTGTAGGGATCAATTTAGCTTACATATTAGGGATATTTATTTTTACAGGTTCTTTTCCTAGTACAGTATCTTAATGATGTTGGTATTGCTTCTGTTTTATTTAATTTATTCGTACCAGTTACATTGTTCACCTACTGAGGTACCTATGAATGAAGTCAGACAAGTAAAATCACACAAGAATTCCACTTTCCTACTAATTATTTTTGTTATGCCTATTATTAGTAATAACAAATCAAGTATAGAATGCAAGTTAAATACCCAGAGAACATTCATAAATAATAGGTTGAGAGAGACAAAACTTTTATTTTGAAATGGTTTATTGTTATTTCACTAAACCAAAATATAAAATTATCAAAGAAATACAAAATAATAATTATTATTGCTATAGCTCTTGCTGTTGGTGTATTACATTTTTAGAAAGGTTTATTGAAACTAAAAATTTAAATATACATTAAACAAAGCCAATTTTTGTAAAAATATTCATAAAATATAAATTTTAAATCAAATATATGGGGTGCATTGCTAAAAAAAGTTGAAACTAATTTAACTGTTAAACAATGTTCAAAATGATTTCAAAAATAAATAATTACATATAAAAACTAACAAGTGCTTTAATATGAAATTCAATACTTGTTTGAGAGTCGAAACATCACAAAAAATCACAATTGATCATGCTACATCGTATCACAGAATATAACATAACTCCTTAAAAATCACAAGGCTGAAAGCCAATAAATTATTTATTGCTATAATACGTTTAATACAGCCAATAGTCGGAAGCAGTCTTGACTCTCAGTGGGATGTATTACGTATTACCGGGCTGGAGCTCGTGGACGGTAGAGCCTTGTCTTGTGTAGGAGGAAGTTGTTGCTGATGACCAGAGTGCGACCCTTGGTCAAAGTCTTCAGCAGCTGAGAAAGTCGCCACTTGTGTGTTGTGTCTTGTCTCAGCGTTAGACTCAGCAGGAAGGTGGAGCTCATCTGAGGGTCCCACTTGATGCTGCTGATCTTCACCTGACTGCCTTCCTCAGTCTCTAGCTGGATGTCCAGGGTACAGCCCCTGTAAACAAGGACAATGTTAAGTAAAAAAAGGAGTTTTAAAATTACTAATTACTGAAAGAATTTGATGGTCCATTAATGTGAGTTGCCAGAAAATAAATCAGTAACTGTTACAGTTATTTTTTGTGTGGTTAAATTATGGATTTGAAATGTTATGAACTATTTGGAATGTTTTAATGGAAGAAATTGTACAGGGATTGGGACAGTCACATTCATAGCATCTCATAAAAGACTGTAAATGCATATTATTAATGAATATTTTTACTGATTAGAAAGGTTGTTCATATTTTACGAAAGAAATATTTAAACAAACAACAATATAGACTTGAGCAATCACAGAGTTTCAAAACGTTTTTGGAGGTCTCCCTCTTTTCACACCCTGCTCTCTCACAGGAGTCGCTATGTGCTCAATGGTGCCTTGGAAATTTGTAGGTAGTGGAGGAAATTAAGGGAGCCCTTTCTCCCATAGTTAAATGACGTCACCTCATAAGCTCAAGTGTGCCCCGTCGCGTCGTCTACTGGCTTTGGGCTTAATCTGTCTGCCGGTCTTCGGTACTACTTGTAGCCTAACTTATTGACTGATGATTGGAAGGTTTGGAGTTGATATTTACCTAAGACCACAGGGCTCGCAGACAGACTGGGCCAGTATCTGGCTAGCGACTGTAGGCAGCAACTCTCGTGGCAGCAACACTTCACCACAGGATAACTGTGCAGACTTGGCAGCCCTCAACTCCTCACCTAGCCTCTGGGCCAGAGCTGAACATGCTACTTCCCACTCTGCTTCCTCTCCTGGACAAACAAAACAATAAAACATTAGCGTCGGAAACAAATACTTCAAAAAACAACAATCAATGACAGCGGAGTCAATTTGGGTCATTTAAATCTTCAGACTTTTATCAATCCCAAACCAGCAGTGATCTTCAGGGTGGAATAAGAAATAAATGTGCAAATCACTTGGAAATTGAATTAAACTGCTAAAATAGCTCCCAAGTGTCTGGGATTCGAACATTTCCTTTGGTTGGCTTTCTCACTAGAGAGGTCTTCCTTGGAAGAAGAATTTAGTGTGAAGGGGTAGATTTTGTAAGTATATTTAATTGAGAATTTATATTCCAATAGAAGAAAAAACTGTTTACTTATTGAATTAATGAACACTTGGACCTACAGCTTAACAGGAACTATGAACTCCACTAAATAAAGTCACTAGTTGGTGGGATTTGATCTTGCACCTCTAATAAATACAGAACTCTATACAGCTTCTAACTCTTACAGATTCAATACATTTTGAAGAGTAAAAGGGGTTTCAACATGACCATGCAACCGCAATGCAAATGGGGCTGATGCAAATTGGCACAAATTGGTATGCATTTGATACTGAATGGAATTATAAGTTATAATTTCGTACATTTAAACTGTTAAACCAAAACTAAACAATATTTCATGATCAAGACCGATCAAGACAGACCCTATACAATATCTGGAAGTCATTAATACATTCTTTTAGAAACACCTACAAAATAAGCCTGTACATAATTAATTGAATTAATAATTTTCCGACTTGTTCAGAACAGGTCCACTACTGTTCACCTATATAGCGTCATTACCTATGTACTTTATTTAAGTATAAACCTGGGTATTAATACTGTATCGAAGTCATCCCTGGCTTTGAAGTGAAAGTAAGTTACTGTAGGAGGTGAAATCATCTAGGTATTCTAGATTTTTCTGTCAATAGCCTACAACAGAAAAGGTAACAGCACAGACAATGGAATAAACCATTAAAGTATTATATTGTCTGTGGTTACAGTTATTGCTACTGTATCTGATCTATTTGATAATATCTAGGCCAGGTTGTTGATACTAAACAAAATGCTTTGGTTTTTGGTTACAGGTAAAACTTAGTAAAATTTAAAATAGATTAAGGCATAAATAATAAGAAAATTACAGTAGTTACAACTTAGCATTTTTAGCCTCAACTAATGTGTTGAAAAGGAGAAGAGTCTGTGATCTGTACAATAATGAGAAATAGTAGTAAGAAACTGTATAGTATAAACTTTAAAACAGAAATTGTACATATCTAAAATAATGTGAAAAATCTCAAAAAAGGTAAACATGGCTTATTAATAATTGACAGTTTTCAGAAATAATTAAAGGTACTGCAACTTTACTTTATTTGTTATTTAAATGACAACTTTTACGAATTCCTACCTTCCATCATAGACTGATGTAAATCCACAGAGTGTTGATGAGATAATTTCTCCACAGCAATCATTGTCACAGCACTTAAAACAATTGAAAATAACTTAGCTAGGAGCACTAAAATACTGAACTTCGTACTATCCTGTCAAAGTCACAGAAGAAACTGTACTGACTGAAAATACGACTTCTGTATTTAACGATCGGCGCCGGCTGTCCAAACTGAACTGAGCTGATGAAATTCACACATCTGTTTAACAAAGAAACTCGCTTCCCCCCTCCAACACACGTGGTGGGGGCGGCTTTACCCCTCCCCTACCCCTGATATTAGAGGCTTACAACAATACATTATTGATCGTCACGCTCACGCTGTACAACAATGGAAAATTAATTGTGATTATCCAACAATACTGATCACGCTTTTGAGCTCGTGTATTTGGCTCATTCAAATTTATGATATTTAACTAGAAAACTGGGTTTTACGAACGTTTTTGTATTCACTGTAATCACTGACTTACATCATCTTACATTGGCTACTTAAAATATTTTTTAAAACATCCATTTACTAATTATGTACACTTATTATGTTATTTATCTTTATACTGTACTGATGTACCATAGGCTATTAAAAACGGATATTTCTAAATTCTACCAGTTTAGGCTTCACCCTAATGTTTATATTGCATAAAAGGTATTGAAAGGTAAACAAATCTAATATACTCATCCATTACACTATTGACTTTAACAAAATGTATTGAAGTTTACACACTTACACATCTGTATTTGTATATACAAGATAGTTAAATTCCACTACTCTTCATTATGCGCGAATAGTATTCATTGTTAGAAAGCAACATTAGACTTTACAAGTAGATATATTTTTGAAAATTGTGAGCATTGTTTTTATACAGCTTTGGGAAAACTTTGATAATTAATTTTAAATTGACTGAGATTGCCTTCACAAACAAAAACAAAATTTAACCTCTTTGGTTATCAGAGGGTTTTAAGTAAGTTGTTTGAATAAATTAGTAAACAACTACACATAGTTTGTAATTAAATTCCATAGGCCTATAGGCTTAGGAAAAAAAACAATTATGTATGTTACTTAAAATGTACTTGGTTTTAAATAATATATTTCTCATTTATTTTTTCACAACAACATTATTAAAATCCCTGACAATGCAGGAAATGTAATTTAAAGTATTAGGACTACTGCTGAAATCTCAAGATCCAGATCGATTATCTAATAGTAAAATTAAACTATGACTTACGGGGGATATAACAAAAGGCATGTAAAGTTTGAGAAATTGTTTGTATTTCCCAGAAGATAAAATCGTCTACATCGAGTAAACATTGGGCAAACCGTATGTTTGATTGACCAAAACCATCATCAAGATTATTCTGTGGTTTGGCCAAGAGCGAGGATTTGATTGAAAAGTCAATTTAACTTTCTTGAGATTTCTAGTCTGAAAGAAATATGTCCTTAAAATAGAAAATGTACAAAATCGTAACACACTTCCAGGGGCTTACAGTAGGGTTTACGTTTACAATCCAGTAGGCCTACTTTTCTTTGAAGTTGTAATAAAAGAGCATCCAGCAGTTTCCAAATACGTCGTTAAATGAGGTAAAAATAATTAAAAGTTAGTACCAATTAATGAAGGAATGACATCAGTTCTCCCAAACGTTACTGAACATAATTATAATACTTGGTTTTAAATAATATATTTCCCATTTATTTTTTCACAACAACATTATTAAAATATGTTATAAAACATCCATTTACTAATTATTTACTAATAATTTACTAAGGCTACCGTTGATCCATATGGCAAAACAGTAAACTTTATGTATGTTGAATCTGTGCACTAATTCATCATCATTTACAAAGAAATTCGAAATAAGGAAATAATTGCTTGCATGCTATAGTTATTTGTGTAACTGGTGGGCAATGGCAGTTTGCACTCGTGGTACACATTATTTTCCTACAGTTACTATAAATCATATAAATAATAAGTCTTTGTACAACCATTATACAACACGTTTTTAGGTTAGGTTAAATCATTGTCTATTGGATACAGAAGGTTAAATCCAAACATTGAACGAAATGGGAAACGCTGCACCAGCTGATCGTAGTCGTAATATCTTTACGTGTTGCCAACTTATGTTCAAGCGTAAACGGATAATAAAAGCACGCTGTTTTGTGTTGTTTGGTTAGAATACTGGTGTGCGCCAAAGTAAAAACTGTGCGCCAAAGTAAGGCTTTCTGTACTATAATCTGTGCAAGGAAGCCCACTTTTTTCGAGTAACTGTAGGAAAAAACATTTTAAAATAGTTTGACACAGACTTATAAGCAGTTATTGAGATTGGCACTTAGGTTCATTTCTGGCGCATTTCCATACTCATTCATGCCCAAAGGCACGTAGGGGTACGGTTTTTCTTATCGTCACCATACTTCATATCAATGAATTAAAATCTCGTAACAAGCCAAATCTTCCACTATGGCTATGCGTCAGTTGTTTTATGACGGCTATTACACTGTTTACATTTAATACTACATTTCATCAGCCAGTGTTATCGTAATTGATAAGAATATTAGTCTACAATCGGCAAGTTATTGGGCTTTCCTTTTAAGTTTCCTCGACAAGACACAATAATTATTCCTTCTTTAAGTTTACTGATTCCATACTGATAACCATTGACAAAATAGCGTTATCTTAAATCCAAATTCCACGACTGTAATAAACAAATCAGAGCATTAGGTGTGACATGTTTTCATTGGCCCTGTAAAGCCCCCAAAAATTAAAACAAGCTGGCTAAAAGGAATACATTGTTTACTAGTCAAGTAACCTACATTTACAATTATTTGACAACTAGTGTTGGTATTGAAAGTAGTGACAAGGTGGCTCATATGATTAATTCGAGGGAAACGTTTACGCTTATTTTGAGTGCAGCGAAGATACTTCGCACACATACACATACTACTCAGGAGGAAAGTGAAATATGAATTATTTAAATATAAATTTGTTACCAGAAGGTTACCATTTCTGCTGTAAAAAAATGTTATAGTTGTGGTTGTATCTATATAGAAGACGGATTGCCATTAAAAATGTTCTGCAGCTGTGTCGTGCCTATAGCGACCCAAGCTTTTGGAGTGGGAGGTCATAAGAAATATCCCTCAAAATAATGATAAATATTGGACCGAGTCTATAGTTATTTGTGTAACTAGTGGTGAAAGTGGCACTTTGCTGCACACGAGAGAAATGTTTACGCACGAGCCGCAGGCGAGTGTGGAATGATCTCGAGTGCAGCAAAGGCCTTTTTCACTCGTGTTACACATTATATTTTTCCTACAGTCACTATAAAGCATATAAATAATTAGTCTTTCAAACACTATGCAACACGTTTTTAGGTTCAGCTGGCAACACAAATGGTGCCCTAGAGAAAGTAGTACCCGCGGTCCATATCACTCTGCTATTTTTCCTCGGCAATAAATGTGCTCCGCGTTTTGAGAATATAGTTCCGTATGTTTTTGTAATTTGAAGTGGTTTCCGCGCCTAAAAAAATGCTTAAAAGGTATTTTCTTGTTTATTAAGATCGTAGGAAGGTTTTAAAAACGTTTAAAAGAAAAGTCCAGAAAGTTCAGAAATACCGAAACTATAAACACGAAATGACAGGTTAAATCGTAGTTATAATAGTCAATCAGCTGCTCATAGTATAATTATCTTTAAGTGTTGCCAACCTATTTCCAAGCGTACACGGATTACGTGCATAATGGAACCACGCTGTTTTGTGTTGTTTCGTTGGAATCCTGATGTGCGGCAAAGTATAAACCGTACGGCAAAGTATAAACCGTACGGCAAAGTATAAACCGTACGGCAAAGTATAAATATGCAGCAATTAGCAGCTTTCTGTACTATAAACAGTACAAGGAAGCCAACTTTGTCGGGTGACTGTAGGAAAAGAAAGATTCTACAAAAAGCAGCTCGACTATGGAGAGAAATAGTCTTAAAATATAGTTCATAAAGAATCAAACATTTTCGAAGGATTAAAAAAGAAGAGTCACTTAAAAAAAGTTTGAGCGCATTTAATAATGTAATAAGTTGGTATGCGTCCCGGCAAGGCTACGATACGATTGTACAATACACATAAAGCTGTAGGTACCTCATGTTTTTAAAAGTTGGAAATAACAAAAAATTCAAATAATGCGATTGCTTACAGTTCAACCCCAAAACTTATCGTGGTAGCAACATAGAATAAAGAGTAGGCTCAATTTAACTGGCTTTTAAATACGGTCATATTTTGTTCAGAACTGAACATGGAATAAAATGTTTATCTCTATTCATTGAAAAACGAACATAGCTAAACGTAAATTGGGTAGACTAGAATTAAAGACCAGGTAAATAAAGGTCTTACATTCCACATGAGTCACTGAACTTGCTTGTCTTTTCCAGGAGTATTTCGGCGCAACTCATTCAAAAAATCATCTGTTAACAATGGGTAGCATGTGGCATTACAAGCTACTATTTATATTTTTTGCTGGGTTGCACCCGGCACGTAATCGTTCTGCATCCGTGGACAAGAGAGTATGGACAGGATATTAACTGTACCACGACTTGTTTTGCGGTATCCACGTAGGCACAAGCTGTGTACCTATATTCTCGGAATTGAGGTTCCTAGAAAGACGTCGCCGTCCCAGACAAGTCTAGACTTGTGAGAAGAGAGAGCCCCTTTTGTCGCCTCCTTACCTTTTTCGATCCTTTGTTCATTGTTTCCACTCGAAACCAAAGAATATTTTAACACATTGGGAAATTCCAGAATCCAGAATATTCCGCACCGACGTAAAAAGTAGCTCCTCAGTTCCTGCTTAGGAACACTAAGGTGAACTAGACCTTACTTACTAGAGGGGAACAATCAGTGGCGTCATTTCACCAAATCCTTGGGGGGGGGGGGTGGCCTCTGGGGGGCACGGATTACCCCTCCCCCGTTTAAACCCCCGGAAACTTTTGCAGTTTTAAAACAAAAAAGAGGGGCTTAAGCTTATTTTAATTGTCAAAAGCACTTTGAATGAAAACAAAATTGTGGGTAAGGCCACATACAGATTGGCCAATGGTTTAAGGGTCGTTTCTAACATACAGATTGACCAAAGGTCCTAATGAGTAGGGGCAGAAAATGGGGGCGGAGCTTACAGCATTGATGTCCCGTGGGGGAGGAGCTTGT